TATATTGTTGGATCTTAAATTGTCCTTTATGAACACGCCCCAAGAGTTTTGGGATTGAGTGAATAAGAAGAGAAGAGAAAAAGGAAGTATAGCCCGTTAGGGGTTGTCTATTGAGAGAGTCGGTGATGAGTCTCTTTATTCATATTTTTTCCTCTTATTTATAGAGGTGGATTTTGTACAAATACAAAAATGAGGGAATAGTTATGAAAACTGCTATTAATACAGTGTATATTCTCATTAATCGTATAGATTGTATTCAACATATGTACTCAAATTTGAATTTTAGTATGGCGGTAATCAGTCAGCCGACTTGCTTGAATTCAGTAAACCGAAGCGACCTGTTGAGTAGCGACCGATATATTATAAACTATAACTTGAGGATGAAGATAATTATTTCATATTATAAACTATATTACTTAATTTTCTTCAATCAAGCAAATTTGAATATTACCTGAGTCTTTTCAATACTGAACATGGCATATTGACATATAACTTAAAAAAAGACCAACGCATACATATATATATATATATAGAAGAATTTTTTTTCATTTAACTTAGCCTTCTCTAATATTATTAATCTAATATTAAGTGCAATCTCACAAGAAATCTTAGGATTAAAAAGTCAAATATACTAATTTACACTAGCAGCCCAAAATTATTGGCGGTGCCCCCACTTTTAGATGCTTTCTTAAACTTAACATAATGGGAAACTCGCTAACTTTTCGGGGGTTTACCTAAATAGAGATAAATATATATATGCCAAAAGAATAAAGGGGACAATTAGCTGAAAGACTTTCTTATTACAGTGGTTTGATGTAGAGTAATTATGCCCGCTTCTTACTCAAAATATGTCCATTAATTCATGTTAATGTGCGATATTACAGAAATTACTCATTAATCGTAAGGGGTGAAATTAGGTTGAGTATTAGCCCTGCTCTGCTGGAAGACCAAGATTTAAGTTGCAGCGCAAATCAAATTTTGAGTCAAGTAAATCGTGGACAACTTCAAATGTTAAATTGTTATATATAGTAACTTTAATTTTATGAAGTTTATAATCCCAATTAATTTATTATATATTGATATATTTTGAAGTTGAATCAAAGAAAATTTAAGCAAATGGTTTTTTATGTAAATTTTCTTTTATACATGTAATAATGTTATTTGGTAATGAAAAAATATTTGAATAAATTTGAAAAGACTTTTGGTATGTTGCTCATCCTTGTGTGACCCTTCATTTTTCGAGTTTACCCTATAAATAAGGTGTGGGATCGTTGTTTCTTACTTTACGCATTCTAGTTTCTGCATCCGAGCTTTTAGTTTTTCTTCTTTTCTCGTCACGTCTTTTCGGTCGTCTTCGATTTTCTTCAATGGCCCCAAAATACTCTCCCACCCTTTTTGGCTTCCATTAAGGGTGTTGACTCTTCATTCTTAACGGAGAACAAAGTAAGGGAATCGCAGAGGAGGAATGTTATGCATGGCAGCGTCACCCTTGCAGGCGACGGACCTTCTGTGGGTAAGGATCTGATTTTTTTACCAAGACCAATTCAAGTACGGCCTTCAGTTGCCTCTGTGCACTGAGCTCCTGAGTGTCTTTAACACATATGGAGTTATTTTGGTGCAAGTGAAGTCGAAATTCATAACTGTGATAATGTTGTCTGTTCTTTTCTGTCGGCGGGAGCACATCCTGTAGAATATTTTTTTCTCATTTAAGGGCGATAGAGAGGGCTTTGTCATGTTCTCTGCAGAAAAAGAGCTCCACTTGATAGGGGTGGAGAGCAAAATAAATGACTGGAAGAATAAGTTCTTGGTTGGTTCTTGCTCTGATAATTGGAGGATTCGACACGAGCCGACAGGATGTTCAGTGTCAAAACCGAAGTCTCACCCGGAGAGCATGGATGTCGTCAGGAAGAGGCTGACCGGCCGTCATTTGTCGGTCTCACAATATACTGCAGAGGCGATGGTTACTCGTGCGTTGGCGGGTGAGATGATGAAAGCGTTGTAGTGTGATTCGGATATTGTTGACGGTGTTTGAGCAAGGGAAGCGAAGGAAAAGCTGGCTACTAAGCGTCGAAAGTAGAAGCATCCCTCATAGTCAGGTAATCTTGTAGGAGATGAGGATCTGCTCCCTTACAATGTGGCTGCAAAAATACCTTGTCTTTGTGTCTGCTCATAGTGTTGTTATTCAGGACCAAGTTACTAGTAAGTTCCCTGCTATCCTTCGAAAACATTCTTCTCCCTTTGTTAATGCAGAGGGAGGTGACGAGAGGAAGCCCTCTTCCGAAGGAACTCCAGACAGAGCCGTGATAGTGGTTCCCTCTTCGTCTGTCGAGAGGTCCAGGATGGTATGCCGCAGATTGTTGTCGTTCTGCCGAATTCTCAGACCAGTGATTCTTCCTTTGTTTCTATGTTTGAGAAGGACAAGGCGAGTTAGGTCGTCCCCTCTTCTTAATCTAGTTCTTCGTCGGAGAAGCCGGCTTCATCCTCAGAGAGTGAGCCTCCACCCTATCGTGAGGGAGCAGTTTACATCGGCAGGGAAGGGAGTTGATGGAGGAAACAGATGCTTCACCCTCCTCCCATGAAAAGAAAGAGGGGGTCAGCGTGGGAGCCTGTGTTTGAGAGCACTAGATGGATATCGGAGGATGCCAGCAAGTGGTTCGGCCTTGTGGACCGATCATTTGATTGGTACCCTCAGACAGATGCCAACAGAGAATTGCCTCCGACGTTGATGAATATGATGTGGTCCGGACAGCTCGAACACGCTATGGGGGGCTTCGGTCGCCAAGATCTTCTCCAGAACGTGGGCCTGTGGCAGTTAATGACGGCACAGAACGCCTATTTCCTAGGGATGTCATTGCTCCAGGTGAAGCAGTCACTGGAGGAAACTCAAAAGAAGGAAGCTTCGCTGAAGGTGGATCTGAGAAGGGCTCGAGACAACCAAGACCTTCTAAAGCTCAAGTTCGACGAGTCTGTGAGGGCCAGCAAAGAATCCCTTGATACTATAGCGGCTCTAGAGAAGGAAAACACTGAGCTGAAAGAGAAGGTTACTTCGTTGGTCTCCAGAAAGCAATATGATGATGGTCGGGAGGAGTACTTTAAACTTGGGGTGGACTATACCCTTCAACAATTCGTTCGTAGTGGCTTGGTCAACCCTAAGTATTCCGACTAAAGGGAGTTTTCCGCTTTAACCCAAGATGAGCCACAACAAATGAATTGCCAAATGGATGCCAACAGAGAACCTTATCGTGTTCTTTGTGAAAGTAACAATCTAATCCCAATTTTTGATCTCCAAAGCTACTTAATCCCTACTTTCGATCTTATTCATCTTCTGTATACATGACGCTCAATCAATAAAAGCAATGCTTATAACTACAAAATCATATATAGTTTAGCATGAATTTTGATTTGGCATTCCATGCATTAAAGAAGGGTGAATGAGATCGAAGTGTTAATATCATATTTCTTTTTATCATTGCATATGATTTCTTTTAAAAATAAAGAAAATGTCAAAATAGTTCAATGACTCTTTGCAGAAGGTTGTTTTAATCTCAAATTAAATAATTTCACTAATTTAGTCCCTAGAC